CTGGTGGTGACTTAAAAGAATTAAACAGAAGCTGAAGAAGCTCCACTGCTGTCTACTAATATACTGGTTTAACTGGGTGGAAGGTGGAAATGGAAAATGCAGAAGTTTCCAAATGGGGATGGCAGGGTGACAGCAACAGAATGAAGACTGATGAAAAAGAACTCCAGTAGAAAATGACAGCGTATACACTGTCCATTAAATGAAGAGACAGCAAATTTTCAGTGGAGGGCTCAACTGGCAGACTTTAACCCCCGAGTACACCCTTACTGCTTCCATAGTAAGAGGGTAAACAGCCAGATGCTGCTAATCCATTCAATTAATCAATCATCAGTAGGTGTGACCACATCTATAAAAGCAGAGGTTTTGGTGGTATTTTACTGCAGCACTGGATAGTGAAGCTTCTATTAAATATTTAGGATGGCAGGTGAGAACTTTAATTTCTTTGATGTGAGCTTATCAAATTTTTGACACCTGTATAAAAAAGGTATCTGTATCAAAATTTCTTTCAAAGGCCATGCTCAGCTCTCCGCCTGCATGACCTGATGGTAGTCATGTCTGTGTCTGGCAGCAGTGATAGGAGGCTGGCTGAATAGCTACACAGTCGCTTGGCTTTGACCCATCTTTCCAACAATAAACATGGAGCCATGGTTCTGGATTTGAGTTAGTAGGGAACTTATATGTAAGGGTAAAAAAACATCTGATTCAACCACACTGCAATATGAAAATATTTTCCACCAGTACTCTAAAGACAAATGCATTTTATGTAGGCTTCATTGTGCTGTAGTACATTGAAAGCACTGACATGCCTTGTTTGTATAGTGCAGGATTAAACTGGCATGACAGCAATGAAAGACTAAGAGTGGAATTTCAGGTCCATTGGAATGTCATTAGACATTACCATCTGGCTGATCCATGAATGATCGTATACTAGGAGTCATATGGGCTATGCAGGAGCTTTGATGAACAAATCCCTATTCTACAGCAGAGTGAGAGTCACAAATGGGCAACCAAACAGACAATTTAATTGAAGACATGTTTTGGTGTTTTGGGTCTTTGTTTCTGTTTCAGTGTATGACTGAAATATAAATGACCCTTTCTCGGGTTTATTTATTCATGAAAAAAAAAAAGAATTTACAAGCAAAAGCACAGCTGAAGTCACATATATAGGTGAAAGGTACTTAGCTTCTACCTATATGTGACCAAAGGTCATTAAGCAATCAGCTGAAGGGCAACAGTGCACCAACACATCAGCAGGAACAGGAAGAAGGTTGAAATAGGTTTAAGCTAAACAAGGAATTCTCATTGGATCTGCCTTGACAGCTTCCATAATAATTTTAAACTCAAACAGAGAAACTAGCTTTTTCAGCTCTACATCATTTCCCTATGGGCTGTGGGAGCACAGTACATTCAAGCCCTTTGGTCTAATTCTGTTTGCCTCAATGAGACAAAGAAGAAAAAAATCACACAGTTTCAAACACAGTTATTTTCCACCAGGTTTTCAAGACACACAGCAGCTTGGAAAGCAGAGCGAGCTTTACAGACGAAGTGTTGAAAAAGTTTACAAGGAACAATGACAAAACGTTCAATGTGACGTATAAATCTCTGTGCTCCGCGACAGATGCTGCTGAAGTCACAGACAGTGGGAGGAAGACTGTGTTTATCAAGCACTCTTTTATATAACAATAGACATGCAGGTGTTTTTTAGAATCCTAATGACTACATACTGTGGGTAGGTTATGAGTTTGCAAATATTAGTGTTGTAATAACAGCAGGGCACAATGGGCACAATGTATGTGGAAACTCTTAGACATATTATGTTATACCTTTTTTTGTAGAACAATTAGGAGACTAGACAGAAAACAGGGAACAGTGTGGTGGGAACAGGGGTGGTGTGCAACGTATGTGGGAACTATAGATGGGTAGAAAACTAACGTCCACAGTGACCCAGAAGAAGTAGCTCTGTACAATAACATCAATGACAGCTAATATCGAAGCTGGAAAGTGCAACTGGACTAAATGATGCCCAGCCACACGCGATGACAGATGCTGAGCTAAGGATGAAGATTGTGGCCAGAGGAGATGCTTGCAGATGTGAACACTGCTCTGAGCCCAACACACGTCTACCGGTATCAGTGAAACTTCTCACATATGCTACTGCCACACTAATCCTAGAATAATTTGGGTATGATCAAAGTTAACTACGGTGCAGAAGGTGAGCTTAATGAAAAAGAGGTACAACAAGATATTCATGAGTGAGGCTTTAGAAATTGCCAAGCAAAGGCTCACAGCTGTGGTCATTAGGCTCAAGGTATATAAGACGGAAGCAAATAATAAAATAAAAAGAATAAAATATAAGATAGAAATGCAAAGTGGCTGATGGCCCTAAGTGTAGACCACAGCAACTTCCCAGACCAAGAGCCAGTCAATATCTCAATGAGTCTTCGGAGTCGAGAGCTGCACAGCACAAGGACCTGACTGGAGAAAGTAACAGCACACCATGATTGCCTGACAATACAGGACAATCTTGATCATTAAGAATCCCTGCAAGGGTACAATATCATCAAACTACTAGCTGATTACCTGCCTCGCCACAATATGGAAACTCCTCTCAGTCATCACAGCAACTAAACTGAATATGTGCATGGGCATGTGACCTAATACATGGGTACAGCTCAGAAAGACATTGGAAATAATACCAGAGAGCCAACAGCTCTTGGTTGACAGAGCAGGTTGATAGACTCCAAGGCCAGGCAGACCAACCTGCGCACCACTGGCATTGACTACAAGAAAAACTTGAAACTCAATGCCCCACATGTGGATACTGGTGCACTAATAACATTCATCAGGGACTTACTGGGACTGTGGAAGACAACACACAAATCACCATCAATTGTGTGCTATACCAAGGTGACGTATTGTCCCTGCTGCTGTTCCGCATATACATTAAACCCCCAAGTCCATTCACTACCAAGAGTTGATATGAATTCAGGACTGAAGTGGTCATCAGCAACCTCCTGTACAAAGCGAACATCAAACTGTAGGCTGAGACTAAATAAAATATTCACAACTGATCCACCTAACCTCAGGATGTCATTTGAACTGGATAAGTAAATGGCCTGCATTTGTATAGCGCTTTACTTAGTCCCTAAGGACCCCAAAGCGCTTTACACTACATTCAGTCATTCACACACTGGTGATGGCAGCTACATTGTAGCCACAGCCACCCTGGGGCACACTGACAGAGGCAAGGCTGCCGGACACTGGCGCTACCATTCCCTCTGACCACCACCATTAGGCAAACATGGGGTTAGTATCTTGCCCAAAAATATTTGTCATGCAGCCAGGAGGCAGCCTGGGATCAAACCACCGACCTTCTGATTAGTAGTTGAACTGCTCTGCCACCTGAGCTACAGCCACCCAGTATGAGCTAAGGAGAGGAGGTGAGCTCATTGTCCAGTCATTTGGACTGGATAAGGAATGCTTGCAGGTGGAGCTACAAGAAGCCAGAATAGCACATATACAGGAAAGCTAAAACTAGCTGAGTGTTGCCAAACGGGAAGTCCAACTGAAGTCCAGCACCCTGAGGCTCTATGACCAACTGAAAAAGGACGTTTATGTTGACTAAAGGAAAAAGTGGGGACAAATAGCCAAATGATATCACATTGGATATTTGCAGGATGACTCTGAGAAGATTGAGTTTTCAAACTAAATAAATAATAAAAACAAAACCTGGAACAAAAGAGATAAGCTCTATGTCATCTTGTCAACAACAAGATGAGCATAATTTCTGATTTTTACTTTTTTTTATGTTAAAATGTAGGAAAGGCAAGATTTTAGATTTTCATCTCATACATAATGATTGAAGTTCCCAAACGTTATTGAAGATGCACATTAAATCGAAGTATTTATATACACATTATAGAGTCATATTTATATATATATATATTGGTACTTTGTAATCTTGGTGTTAGGAGGGTTTGTACATATTATTTGGTGTTTCCCTTAGTCTACAAACACAGCTTATGAAACGTTGAGATGCTTTGATTGCCCCTTTTTTGATAATTGAGTTTTAATGCTACATCATCACAGATTCCAAATACAAACCTAGAGAGCAGAGCCTGAACACAAGCGTGTGGTTGAAACAGCTACACCTGATTCATACCACAATATTGCCTGAATTACAGATTTTGATGACATACTTCTATATTTAGATATAATTGCTGCAGTAATGATGTACACAGTGAGCACTGTGCTTATTTTAAACGAGGCTTTTATGAGATCTATCACTGACAAATGTTGGTTGATCCTGTCAAAGACAAAAGCAGCTTAAAGTATATGAGATTATTTTTGCTGTTGTGAAACAGTTTGAACGAACCGGAACAGTTCGTATAGCATTTTTCAGGCTGCACCACTTGTCATCACAGACATGACATACAAGACTGGGGTTGCTCTTTCATGTGAACAAGGTGATACGGCAGCTGTCAATGGGATGACAGTTGCAAGCAGGTATGAGCAGGACTGGCCAGGTAAAATTAATATTTAATTAAAGCCGGCCATATACTATTGGCCACAGTAACAGAGTGTTAAGTTCAGCATTTCACACATGATAGGTTCCTCTAGAACTGAAAGAGTATTTACAGATTCATGTTTTATTGCTGGCCTTTATTATCTGTCAATGTGTTTTTGTACTCATATTACCAAATTTTTAATGTAGTCAAGGAAACTTGATATTTTTATTTTCTTAGTAGTCAAAATGCTGTACACAACAATACAGTATACAGAAGGCAGAGGTACCCTATTTATCTGCAACTGCAGATAAGTTACCATAACTACAGCATATGGCCCCAGTAGTGAGGGCCTCCCACATTGTGTCAACTATAAATTCTAGTCTGTGTGAGTGATGCTTTCGGTAGCTATGGAAACCTAATATAATAGAACCCCCCTCCCTCCCTCCTCCTCCTCCTCCTCCCCCTCCCTGGCGCGCGCTCTCTCTCTCTCCGGTTTATCTCCATGTCTCTCTCCCTCTCTCCATCCCCAGCAAGGCTCTTCAGTCTACTTTGCGCATGTACAGTCAGCCAAATAGAGCATTGCATCGACTCCAAGATGGCGAAAACACGTCTGGCTTGGCTCTTGACTCTCCTCTCAACTCAGTGTAAGTGCAAAAATTATTTTAACCGACTACTACTTTGTCTTTTATCCGCTCGAGGAAGGTGGCCGCCAAATGCCATCCACTACTACATCTGTTTGGTCGATTTTTCTTTTACACCAACAGTAAGTGGAAAAGAGAGTGCCTCAGAAGTAACCGTGTAGACTCAACTAACGTTAAACTTAAACCAGACTGACAGCGAGTTCGGTCTCTTCGACGTGAAGTAAATATAGTTAATGAAGTGACCAAAATAGTCGCCATTTTTAACTTAATGTCAACGCCAGTCTGGCAAATGCACGGCTGGAGTGATTGTCTGAAGCGTCCATTGTTACTGAAAAACATCGCTCAGACTACTCTCAAGTATTGATTTTATTGGAATAATGCCGCCGTTAACAGGAGTGACAGATATCTACGTGTAACTACACATCAGGAAAGCAGGGCTGTCTGAGCTGAACGTTCAGATCTTCAGTTTAGCGGCACATTTGGAGTCGCTAAGCCGACACGTTTTCTGTGTGCGCGTGTCCTGGCTCTGAAAAAGTTTCTCTACAGCATGAAGACAAACTTTTCGTTGGGAAATTAAACATGAATCAAGGCGGTTTCGTAGCTTGTGCCGTTAACTATTTAACGCGGGTTTGAAGCTGCGGTGATGATGTTGGAAGTACTGACGCGAGATAACGGATTTTTCCTACAGCGGAATAAAAGCAGGCTGACCGCGGGAGGAGCCAGGCAGACCAGCAAAGCGTCCTCCACCCCCCTCCTCATCATCCTTCTCCTCCACTCCAACGCTTTCAAACCGCGACACGGCTGGTGAACCGACAAAGCCGAAATAAAATTAATTCTTTTTATGCTAACCGTATCCACCTGAAAGTCCTCCTAACTTTATCAGTCCGATACCTAGAACAGAAAAACAGACACCTGTAAGAGCGGAGCGGTTTGTTTAAATATTCATGCGCGAGCTCCTAGTTCCTTTACACGTTCCTCACACGGTTTGAGGATATTTGTCATAAGACAAATAAGTCATATTCATTCATATGATTTTACATAAATTTAAAATTTATTATTTGCTCAGAGCCGTGGGGAAGGGCCTTGAAGTTCAGGGTGCTACTGTAGACGGAAGGTGTTTTACGCTTGCGTGGTGGTGGTTGGGGGGAGTACTAGACTAAAAATTGTTAGTATACTTCATACACATTTTATTTAACAAGTCTGAGTCTGATTTTCAGTAAATATTCCACTCATCTAATGCAACTGGAAACTTAATTAAACAGAGTTGTCTTCCAACGAGCAGACCCCGAAGCACAAAGCAGACAAGAATAAACCAAAACAAAGATGAACAGATCCAACAGTCTGTTCCACACAGCCAGAAAAACACATTTTAAACATCCTGAAAGGACAATAACAAATACTGTGCTCTGTGAAAAGGTTCACACACCAATGAGCAAAGTCATTATGAAGCTAGAAAATGGTAGGCCAGTCTCTGAGGTTCAGTTCGATTGAAAGTTACTGTTCAAAAAATGTCTAGTGGGAAAAAGTTTGATGGCTGAAACGGCTCCTCGGGTGCAGATAACATGTTAAACCCACTGCCAGTGGAAGTAAGTAAATGTGCCTGTTTATAAATCACTTTGGCTCAACTTCTGTTCTATAAATGTGCTATAGGATATAAATAAAACATGCACTATATTTTTTATAGTGCATGTTTGTTTATATTATATTTACTAAAAATTAATTGAACACATTCAGTGGGCTACATGCTGAACTTGGAGGATAGAGACAAAGCGTTGATCTAATGACAATACCAGCGTTGGTATCGATACTATCGATATCTAGATTGACCCGCCCATATCTGTTGTGTGAAGGAGTAATAAGGAGTAATAATAAGGAGTGGCAGGCTCCTGAGGGCCTCAAAGTTCTTCTCTGAGGTGGAACAAGTAGACAGCAAAGCAGATAACGACGTGGCGGCTGACATCAGGATGCTTTCCTGAATCAACTTGCCTCCTGTTCTTTTCTTTCTACAAGCTGGTGCTTTAACAACAAATGTTGAAATTAGTTTCTGTGATCTTGTTATAGCTAGCTAGCTATTTCAAATGATGTCACTAGGTGACTAGGCTATAATTAATATAATAATAAAATCGGTATAGTAATAACTGGAAATGTATTTGCTCCACTGGTTTCATGGTGTTACAGTGAGGAAACAAAATATTTGTTGCTGCAGTTACTTTAAAAAAAATTCTTTCTCATATCCCAACATTAAAATACAATTTAAATTTAGATAGATGGATTTTTATAGAAAACTGACTGCATCTCAGATATGTATCTGTCTTGTCGTAGGCATTAATTCCTTCCTTAATCTCATTTTTATTTATTTTTATTTATTAGCTTGGTGAAGAAATGCAACAAAATGTACTTAATTTGATGTGTAAATGATTCAGGAAACCTTGTTTTCGTGTGAATGCCTAAGAGCTTGGTAAGAATCTCGTGACATGAAATGGGTTGCTGGTTTTTCCCCTTAGATGTGAACAGACATATTGATCAAAGGGTACAGAAATAAGAACCTTTCCTGTGATATCGCACGTGTGTGACTGGGCTTATTCTCTTTGCTTTAATTAGGAGCAGCAGTGAAATCTGTTGCTGTGCTCTCAGCACATACCTCCAGGCTGTGTGCTGGATTACTTATTTATTTACAATATATTTCAAAGTCAGTACTCTTAATGAATGATCCCTTGTGAAAACTCTGTGACAAGGCAGCACAACTGACATTTTCAGGGGAGGACAGTGAGCCGGTAAAGATTGAAGAATTTCTTTTGTCTTGCCTGGACGGGGCTTAGCCATGTGGTCTCAGTGGCTCCCAGCCTGCATCGCCACTGTCTTTAGAAAAGGAATGAATCTGGCTAGACAATCTGGCCACAAGCCATCTTATGAATTACTAATTGGTACTGAAAGGGTTTGATTCCTAATAGGTACCGACTGTAATTAGAATGCTTCTTGTATGTTGAAAAAGCTCTGCTCCCAATTTATTTTTTGAAGTTTTAAAATTGAGCAGAACTCAGTGAGAAATGAGTGTCACTAGCTCTGCTTTTGCTGTTGGTCACGCTCAGTGTTATTATCTGTCTCTGTGAGATGTGCTTGTTATTTTCTGTTCGTGGCATTCTTTGGGTAGCTATCATCCTAATGACCACACAGCCCTAGTCAGCCAAGCGAACGCTAAACCCAGCTCGGGCTGAACACGGCTGCACATATCAGCCCAATCATCTGACATCAGAGGGAAAGACGAGGGGCATCATTATTTTAAGTACACATGCTTACAGCAGACTTTCCAATCTGATCTAATGGAATGCACTGACGTTTTCCACTGCTGGCTCCACCTGAACCATTTCACGTAAAATATTCCAAAGAAAGTGCTAGACATCTGCCAGAACCTTCCTGCCAGCAGCACAGCCAAGAAATGTGTGGAACTGGAAGATGCTCAAAGTGGATTCGTATCAATATAAACTCTGAAATCACAAGCTCACTTTTATAAAAAACACTTGTGCAGAGCAACACACACCAAATGTAATTGTTGCATTTTTAATTTACATAACTACAGCCTCGTAATTCACTCACAAACATTGTATTCATGTAAATGTTGTTACCTGGAAAGAGACTGAAATCGTGCAGATGGTTTTAGAGGCTCATTTAACCATCCTTCACTCTTGAAGTATTGCAGTCTCTTTCTGAACAGCTGACATTTTTATGAGTCGGCAGACTGCTAGATTGTTGTTAAATGTCATTATGTCACTCTGAGAATTTTGAACATGGGCTAAGCCACATGTAATTGGACCCCATTATGCTATTTAAACATTTTTGTGAAAAGAAAAAAGTCTTGGCTCTTTATTTGTCAGTTGTCACGGCAGGACTCTGACTGTGGCAGCACCCTGAGATGAATGCTGATAGTAGCTCCCGTACAAGCTGCTTGCTGTCAGATGCTTCTCTCCCCACCCAAAGCTTGTGAGCAAATGTTTGGAGCGCTCTCTGAATGGCATGGCTGTGGCCCCTGTGGACAAGTCTGATACAGTCTGACATTTTACTAATGGCAGAGTAAAACGGGGCAAACAAACCAAAAGGAGTCCCTTGCTACACAGCATTTGCCTGGTATGAGTCGAGAGTCTGTCGCTCCACACCCTTGAGTGAGAGGTGCAATACCAGCACATTCATCATGGTTCCAGGAAGCAATTATGCATTTTTGTGCTTGTTGCCTAACTGGAAGTTGTGTAATAATCTTGACAAAAAATCCCAATTCATTCCTGTAAGTCGAGGGGATATTTGTGCAATCCCTCCATGGGGGAGTGCCACATGAATCTTAGTGTGGAATGACCTGAAACAACTGTGCACGAGTGGGTGGTGGTCGTGGTGTTTTGAACAGCAGCATAACCAGAAATATGTGCATCCCTCCTCAACCTGACTGCGCATTAGCAAATGCAACATACCAAATAGAAAACATATGTAGACAGAATGCCTTACATCACATGAGCACCGACTGACAATCACAACCACCTGTTTTCCTTGGAGATAAAACGGACCACTGCTGATGAGCCGGCTGACCTCACCCAGCTCATCAGCAGAGCAGAAAGGGGGAGGACAGAAAGCTGGCCAATATTGTTAGTTGAAGGCAATCATCAAACATCTTCTGAGACAAAAATCCACTTTAGCTTGACAGATAGAAGGGTTTAGCTTGTTGTCCTGCTCACATTTATTCTCACTGTACCTGAGCGTTGAAGATGCTCGGTGTAAAAGGTAAACATAATGTTCCAAAAATGGCAAAAAAGCATGTGCATGCTTCAAATGTCAGTAAGACTAGCATGAGAACCAGCCTCCAGGCAGCTCATGCTCGCCAACAAAACAAAATGAAAATCTTGATGGCCTCGGTGGGTAAAAGGAATCTAAAAATTCTGGCTTTGTTTGTCAGCATGGTCCTATTTTCAACTGGAGGTTTAGTCAAGGGAGACATTCATGAGAAAAAAATTGCGTGTTGT